CCCCAAAACCCCAAAACCCCAAAACCCCTTGAAGTATATTTATTGTTATAGAGAGATTATATTATAATTTTATCACATAATATAAAAATGAGTGAAACAATTGATCCAATTACAATGTTGAGAGACTCTTTCAACAATAAAAAGGAAATTGTATTCTCAGAAGGTGGGAATGAGCTTATCTTCACTGAGACAGGTTACAAGATCCCTAGAGATGTGCAGACTGCCTGGCTAATGAAGGATCGCAAGGGTCATTATAACATTGGAGCTATTTGGTATTATGTTTCCTCTAAAGATATGAAAATGGGAGAGTATGTTGCCTCTTCACAGAAGAATGGATTCCAGATGATTTAGCTTTTAGATCGTAAAGAAGTTCAAGACTTCTTCACTGGCTAGATCAAGCATTCAGACTCAATAGATGAATCTTTCAGACCACAAACTCTGATTAAGAAGTCTCAACTCAAAGGCGGCAAAGTAGTCTAACTTGGCGAGTAGATAGCTAGGAAGAGAGACGCCAAGGCAGAAGAAAAATAGCAAAGAAAGATGGAGGTATATGAGCATTTGCTATACAATGAGAGAAAGATAGCCAGCAGAGCCACAGCCATTTAATGCTAGAACAGAAGTTTCCTCAAAGTGCTACAATTAGCTTACCAAATGACTGGCTAGGAACAGAAAGTAAAAGAAGTGTAAGTGATTCAAGTAATTATTATCTGTATAGTAAGGATAGAATAGAGAAGAGACAGGGTAAATGTCAAGTAATCAATCTAGATCTAGGAAGTCTTAATGATAAAATCAAGCGAAAGAGATCGTTGCTTGAAGAGATCACTAAACTTTCCAAAGGTAACCACTTCATTTATTTAACTTGATTACAGGCAGTTTTTAATAAAGAGCTAAGCCAATCATCATAGTGCCTGGCTCCTTCTATCAAGGAAACATATGTCTGGGTAATGCTATCAAGTTCCTCTAGGAAGGACAATATGTCGCCAATATCTCCTCAGTCACCCCAACTGCCAATGGTCTAAGTTAAGATGATAAACATGCCAAAATAGAAGTATAAAGGAAAATAGGATCAGACTAAGTGTCTTTTGAAATAGTCGACAATGTACAAGCCTTTGATAACAGTCAATGGAGCAGAGTAGTGGCAGTTTTTACTAATGGATAAGACTGGCAGTTCAAAGACTGGCCAACTAAAAAGATGGTTGAATTATTCCTAAGAGTTAGAGGTTACTACATCCACTATCAAGATCAGACTACTCTTCCAGAACTGACAACTAAATATAACATTAAGATATTGACTTTGCAGAGAAATAAAAGGCATCAGGATGGTATTATACACAATGAATTCTGGCATGATCTGGAGACCTTCCTTAAAAAAGAGAGATTCTAGGGACTTAATTTCTGAGAGCAATGTGGATTGAAAGTGTTGTCATTTTAAGAAAGCGAAAGTAATTGAGCAATTAATTTCATAAAAATCTTATCCCAAGTTATATCCTTGAATCGCAATGGAGGGGTTTTGGGGTTTTGGGGTTTTGGGGTTTTGGGG